TCTGGGAGGACTTCCTCCTGACTGACCACGCAACTTTCTCACCGCACATATACGACTTTTTTTCCGTTTACAAAGATAACCCTACCCTTTCTCTCCGACGTCCGGATCCGTCGCCCAACCCGACATCCATTACGCACGAACCAGAACTTTCTTGCTGAAAATCATCAACGACGACTACAATCGAACACCTTCCCCCCGAACGCCACGGCCCCAATACCAATACGAACGCATTACCACTGCCCACCATAGACATTCCTTCATTCATTCTGCACCACCGCCGCAACAACCATTCCTCCGTCCTCACAATGTGTATGAACCCGGCCCACCCTGGTGGCTTCCACTCAAACCTTGGGATGTCACACATGCAACGACTCTCATCCATGATATCCCTGCCTCCCGTCACACATTGGCCATCTTTAATATTCCGCACCCGCCACGTACCTAGGATTACCTCAACGACCTCATTCTTCTTCATGACCATGATATGCAGCAATCGCTCCCGCCCTTCCCTGCCTATAGAGCCAACATTGTGCACCAGACCGTTGCATACCTCCGGACCCTGACTCCCTCACCACCGCGCTAAACCCTTTGCGACCTCCTACGACAAACGAGACTGCATACAAAGAAGAGAGCCGCGGTTGCAAACAAATGACGACCCAGCTGCACACAAATGCCAGCCGAATTCCTGACGCACAAACAAACAAGTGCGACCACCTGAATTGTCGATCGAGATACCAACAACACCACATAGACAAGACTACATACAGGCACAAACAGAGGAGGTGGACATAGTATGGAAGATGCAGAGGCAAGAGATTTGGAAAAAGGGGAAGGAGACAGAGAGAGATAGAGAGAGATGGAGAGAAGACACATGGACATAGGCAAACAAATAGGGGAAGAGAGTATACATCTGAGACCCCCATGAGTTGAGAGAAATGAACACAATGGGGTGACCTTTTGACCTGACATATTTGTGTTATCCCTGAACGTATGGAAAAAAACTATATCTCTTCTCTGTGCATATTCAATACTGCAAACTGCAAACTTTTCCCTGCAGTCATGCTGCAGAAAGATAGGCGGAGAGAAACTATACATTTGAGACCCCTCTGAGTTGAGAGAAATGAACACAATGGGATGACCTTTTGACCTGACATGTTTGTGTTATTCCCAGACGTCTGGAAAAAAAAACTATATCTCTTCTCTGTGCATATTCCATACTGCAAACTGCAAACTTTCCACCTACTCTATCTGCCCCTTTATGCATCTGCGTTGCCTAATCTCAAAATGTCTGTTTGAAAAAAAAAAAAAAAACTTCTGATCGAGAAGTTACCTCTTATCGCCAGCCTGTACAATAAAGATGTGCATAGCACAACTGGCATGATTCCCAACCAACTAGATCGTGGTTGGAAGCCCAGATCTGTTCTTGACTTCCTGCTGCCCGAAAATCAGCCAACTGCAGCACCAAGCAGCATAGAGTTTGCTGTCAAATATGAACAGCTGCTGCAGCAGGCTGTCAAGCACATAAAGAAAGCCCAGGCTGCTCTGATTGCATCCGAGAACAAGCACAAGTGGCCATCTGCATTTCAGGTAAGTGAACGCGTCTGGGTTAAGTCATCTGAGTTAGGACAGGAGCTGGGAATCTCCCCTAAACTGATGCCACAGTACTTGGACTGTGGGAAGTTCTGGATATAGTAGGAGATCAACCAGATGGTCCCTCATACGTCTTTCGCATCCCTGGTCACCTCTGCACGCACCCTCTTTTTCATGCATCCAAAATGGCAGGTTTTGTTGAAACCAATCTGTTTCCCTCTGGGCGATCAATGCTGCCCCCAACCATGGACGGTCACGTGGACATTGATGACATTGTTGAGCACAAGCTGATGCCTGTGCCCAAGCCTCCAGACAGCGGACGCCCTTCGAAACCGCAGATGCAGTATCGGGTGCGGTTCAGACATCATATTGATCCAAAAGAAGACGAGTGGTTCACAACAGAAGAGTTAATGAAGACTGCTTCCCAAATTATCTCAAGTTATGAACGAAATTTGAAAGGGAAGCAGCCCGCTGTACAAGGACGTCTCAGGGGACTATCGAAGTAAAGGAGGGACTGCGAGGATTTTATCCCTCGGCATACCTGCAGAAGGCCCGTACGACGGACGCGTATCAGCCCTAAGTGAAGGCGGGCCCCCAAATTTTCAATGAGGCCTCAGTTAATCAATTTTTGCAAATCTTGGTGGGCACCAGACAGTTGCCACGTGCCAGTTGGTTACATTTGGCTTGCTCGTGAGAATCAGAAATATTTGTGAGATTTCCAGGCTCTTGCAGCAACGTGGTCGAAGCAGGGGACACCGCACGTTTGTGCCCGGGTGGTTGGGCATGCTTAACCAATCTGGGCCCAGGTCACTGTCTGAACGAGCCTGGGACGCAGACACCTGGGCTGAAAGTTGAGCTACTGGAAAGGTCCAGTGGGGCAGGCTGCGGGCAGTGCCAACCAATTTCCATATAGGAAAGTGCTGGGCAGCGAGGAGGGCATTCAGGCACTGGCTTGTGCAAGCGGCAGCGCTGCTGGAGCGCGCGCTCACAGGCTGCGTGCTGTGCGCTAACAACAGGTATCGGGCAGTGCGCGGCGCTGAGAGAGAACAGGACGCTGCTTCCAGGCAGCGCCATAGCCAGCCTTCATAGCCAGGCTGGCTTGGACGAAGGTGAATGGGAGGTGGTGGTGGTCTTCGTGTTTGAGGGAGACGTGTGAAGAAGTTGAGGCTGAGCGATAGGGGGACAGATGAGGATTGTGATGTGAGGGCACGTACCTGGTCTTTGCGATCGTCTATAGGGTCGATCACCAGTAGGAGGAAGAGCTATGATTGCAATGTTGATGGTGGCGACTATGCTCTGATTGACAATTGAGTTCGATGCTTTGGTTCTCCTTCGGTGTAATATCGGTGCATTTCTGCCTTCTGGACGGCGTACGACTATCTGGCTTTCAAAGTTTCGATGTCATTTCGCTATTGCTCATTTTCCTTGCACTGATTGAAAAAAAAAAAAAAAAAACCATCCAGATGATCATTGCAAGATCCTTTGTTTTTCTTTTAGATCAAGATCTTAAATATTCATTTCAATTCCGAGTATTTTTGCTTTGCTCAGACTCCCTCTTGATGTTTGGATTCTTGTCACCAGACAGAACCATCCAGATGGTTGTCTGGATTTGCATACAGTGCCCATGAACGATCAGAGTGCTGAAGATTCTGGATCATATATCGTTCTTTTCCCCAAACATCATACTTGTGGCGCACTGGTGCGGTGCAGTGCGCCCTGCGGAATGCGCACGGTGACACTGTGTGCGCATGTGCGCGCGCGCGCACGAGGTGCGCCGTGCACGCAGCGCATGGAGGCGCGCTACTGTGCAACGTTGCGCACTGTGCGCCATGCCTTTTTTCGGCTTGTGTGTGTGTGTGTGTGTGTGTGTGTGTGTGTGTGTGTGTGTGTGAGAGAGAGAGAGAGAGAGAGAGAGAGAGAGAGAGAGAGAGAGAGA